AGGAACTAAGAACTATCCTATGATCCTTCTTTGCTGCTGTTAAAGAACCTCAAAACCTAAATTGGATGATGCGGTTCTTTCTGGGCAAAAGCAATCCAGCTTCAAAAATAAATTAAAGTGCTAAGTTTCCTTAAAAATATCTCCTTCTGCATCCTCAAAGTCTTTCCCATAACAATTTACAGCTCATGTCTACACAACTAAATTTAGGCTATACATATTTTTCTTACGGCTTGAGTATAAAAGAAGCATTTTCCTTCCACTGTCGCCAACCTCTCTCTCTGGTACACTCTCCAGATAAATTGTTTCTCGCATTAATGAGTTGTACATCGTACAAATCCTGTGTAGTAGCTCCCCATACGGCTCATTCCTCCAGAAGACCTGCCGTGTCCTGGGCAAACCTGGGAAACCTTCCAAGGCAGGAAATCTGCAAGGCAGCAGATTGGGAGTTATTGACCTTCAAGAATATAGATTTCATTTATCAGGATCCTTTGCCACAGCCATGCTGTCCTCACCTGAATAAATTTGCTCTGTAGTAAACAGAGATGTTTTTCGGGGGGCTGTGCGGGGGATTTTAAACACACGGTTCCTGCTTTTGTTACGACGTTGGAAAAATTACTGGCTGTGGTTTTGTTGTCGGGGATGCTGCAGGTGGTGTGGTCCACCTGCACGAGGGAGAAGCCGGGTGGTTAATGGACTCGTGGTCCTCTGGAGTTCAGGGCACTTGCCGTGGTACAAATTGAGTTTTATAATACAACTTCTTATCGTTCCTTTGGAGGATTGAACCGGACAATTGGATTTCAAAATAGAGATGTTGGAGCGGAGTGGGGTTTTTAAGAGGTAGTAGCAACAAAAAGTAGGCAGATCCCTTGGCTGGAGAGAGGCCAGGTTAGGCGCTGGCAAAACCTGAAAGAATCTTTTCCCTTAGTGGGGCGCTTTGTCGTGCATTTGCAGTATGATAGTTTTATCTCTTACCTATACCTGAAAGTGTTCTGCTAAAAATAATGTGACAAAATATGAGCAGTATAACTTCTAAACTAACTTCTCAAGAATTTTTAAAGTAATTCCAGTAATTTAAACCAGAAACAAATGTTGTTCATACTATCTGGGGTTTTTCCTGTCCATCTCCACTTACAGGTAGGAGAATGGTTACTAGGAAGAACGCTAGGATTGTGTGATTACTGCATGTATATTGTAGATGATCTAAATCTATATCATCTTTAATTTGAGGATTCATTTTTTTAGGCTCTGAAACATTTACAACATACGTTATTAATTTTAATATTCAGTAACATCTCAAGGGTTTGTTCGGGCTGGGGGAGGCACAACGGAAACGCAGCTTCCACTCTGGCGTGTTTACAGTCTCAACTGACAGGGGTGGGAAGGGAAAAAAAAAAAAATCAAAGCCAAGATTTAATTCTGCTAAAGTTGTCATTTAACCAGTGGCAGTGCTGTGCTACCTGTAGGCATCGATTTGAGCCCAGTGCCTTCGACAGTGCAGGGCTGCTTTTGGAATCATGGAATCCCAGACTGGTTTCAGTTGAAGGGACCTCACAGCCCATCCAGTTCCAACCCCCTGCCATGGGCAGGGACACCCTCCACTAGCCCAGGTTGACCAAAACCTGGCCTTGACCACTGCCAGGGAGCCAGGGGCAGCCACAGCTTCTCTGGGCACCCTGTGCCAGGGCCTCAGCACCCTCACAGGGAAGGATTTCTGCCTCAGATCCCATCTCCATCTCACCTCCTGCAGCTTCAGGCCATTCCCCTTGGCCTGTCCCTCCCTGCCCTTGTCACCAGCCCCTCTCCAGCTTTCCTGGAGCCCCTTTAGGGACTGGAAGGGGCTCTAAGGCCTCCCCAGAGCCTTCTCTTCTCCAGGCTGAACAAGCCCAACTCTCTCAGCCTGTCTCCAGAGCAGAGGTGCTCCAACCCTTGGATCATCTTTGTGGCCTCCTCTGGACTCGCTCCAACAGCTCCATGTCTTGAAGTTTAGATGGGCTCCAGGGTGTTGCAGCAGTACAGATGACAGTCTGGGATGGGCTTGCAGTGGTGTGACCAACACGGCGTTTCAGCCCCCTTGGCTCCTCTCCTCCCCTCCTCTCTCCTGCCGCTAATCCAGAGTCCCCTGCCTCGTGATGATCAGGTACAATTAGTTTGCATTCAGTGGTACAGCCTTAGTACCCAGCCGGTGCTTTGAGTTGCCAGACGTGCTTTGGGAACGCATCGCAACGTCTGTGCTTATTCGGGATTCAGTGGGAGAACTGAATGAGTTTGTTTACAGTGTCAATGCAAATCTAAAATTATTTAGGCTTCCATTTATTTCCAGTCTTGTTGAGCTCCCAAGTTGTTTGCCTAAGATCATCTATAAATATTTTCACAACGGAAAAGAAAGTAAAAGTGCTTTGGTTTTGGAGAGGGACTGGTTAAATCTGGAACACACAAGCAGAGAACCAGGGCAAGGAAAGTTACGGTAATGCCATTTTCTTTGAAATGAAAATGTGCAGAAGTTATGGATGACTGAAGTTAAAAAGAAAACGGCAGTCAAAGCAAAGAAAGGTTAAGTGATTTTGAAATGTTTCACTTGCTGACTTGCCAAACAACGGAATATTAGTTTAGTTTCTATAAATTTGTAGTATATTGCTCTTCTGAGTCAAAATTAACTCAGCTTAGTATATGAGAATATACTCCATTTTCTGCAAATATGCCTTTGCTATTAAATACATGTTATTTTTTGTTTAGAAATAAAAATATGCTCTGTATCATCATTCTAGATTAGATACATAATAGGGGTAAAAACATTCAGATCCTTCCATTTGCAAAAATTGCGTTGCAGACTGTAGAAACTGCCTCGTGATTTCCTGCAGACGTGATCCCTCATTACAGTGATTGTAATTAGTCGTTCTGATGTGTTTTTCATCTTCAAGGCACTTTACAAACATGAGGTAACTCATGCTTATTCCAGTCCTCTTCCCTAGATAAATAACATTATGAAGCCTGTTGTAGAATTGAGAAAAATCAAGAGAAGGGGTCGAACATCACGTGGAGCTGTAAGGGGAAGTTAATGTAGGTACCAGGATCTACCCCTCGTCAGCATCCATCACCTTTCTGTCTTAAATTAGGTCACCGCTCAGTCTCTGTTTGCCCAAGCATCTGCTCATTTGTTTTCTTTAGGACTCAAAAGCTCCTTTTCCCTCACTCACCCATACCAGTGTAGTTTCTAGCCCATATTTTCTCCTTACTTCCCTCCTTTCCTTCGAGAGCATGAATTTCTGTCCTTTCTGTGATCTCCCGTAACTATTTTTCCTTTTGCAGCTCCTCATCTCCCCACCATGAGTAGCTCCCGGCCTTCAGGCTGCTGCTTTCCATCCCTTCCCTCTCAGTCTGCCAGAACAATCTTCCAGTCCATCCTTCGGTTTGTGCCCTCCACTTGAAATTGAAAATTTGCTCCAGGGAGGAGCAAACCGGTGAGAGCCCAGCCGCGTCTTACTGTTGTGGCATTGGCATGTTACACATGGGGGAAGACTTACTGAACTTGGAGCCTGGCTGGGCTCCAAATTGCCACTTTCTTTGGGAAAAAACCAGATACTGAACGTCCCAGTCTATTATTTGTGCCGCTAAAACACAGGAAGCTGTGCCCTGCCTGACTCCTCAGCCAGTGCTGGCAGCAGTCTCGGTCATCCTGACAGTCGTATGAAACTTGTTATGTTTTACTCTTATTTTTAAATCAGCATCTAGAACTAAGTATTTTCCTAAAAGGCTTATTTTTTTTCCAAGTTTTCCTGATATACTAAGAAATAATGTGATTTCAATGTGCAGATCAAACACAAGATTCACCTAACGTTGATCTTGGGCTTTTAGTGGTGGGATTTTATTTGTATGTTTTGGGAGGCTTTTGGTTTTTGGGGAGTCTGGGGAGGTGAAATATTTCTTATTTATGCAGTGTGCTAAACCAGATGGGACTGGGGGCTCTGGGTGCGGGATGGATGCAGGAAACAGTTGCGTGCGTGAAGGTTTCCCCAAGAGCACCGTTCCTCTCCTCTCCCTCCTCTGCCCAGCATCCAGCTCCCACCATCTTTGCAAGTTGTGGTGCTTCATCTCAAACTCTTTGTTCCCAAAGGCGGATGTCTTCTGGGAGCGATGGGGAAATGTGCGTTCAGCCTTTTTCCTCAACCCTTCTTCATCCAACTACTCTTTGCAGCTGCAGCCATCTCGGTATTTCACCGGGGCAAGGAACATGTGGCCTGATGCTGAGAGGAGAATTAGGTGGTATGGTCAGGGGATTTAAATTTAAAATGAAGGGTAATATGAACCAAATGGATTTATAACTCATTCCAAATCTTATATTTTTAATAAAGTGAGGTCAGCAGTGTCAGCCAAATCTCAGCAGCAGAGGCAGATCATCAAGTTTGATCTTAGATATCCTGGTGTGCTAATTTAAGCATATTTTTGGGTTTGAGTGGTTCTTTATGTTTAAAGGAGGAAAAATTAAAAATATGCATTTAAAAACATTCTTGCTGCTCCTCATTAAGATTGTTGGCTTTTGAAGAGCTGAAGGATATTGTTAAATTTCTTTGGGTCAGTAGAAGCGGCTGCTGAATTTCATGGTTGAAGAACAAGAGAGGAAGAAGAACCAATGGAAATATAATGCATATTTGTTCAAAACAATATCTGCAAATTGCCTGTCCCGTCTAACATAGATTATAGATATTAGAGGGAGAGGTGATTATGAACTATAATCTATCAACAACATTTAGCCAAAGTCCTAGGTTCTGGGTTTCTTTGTGGGCAGGCTGTGTTTACAGATTATTGGATATCCAGTTGGGCTAGCAGGAGGCACCTCATTTCTGAAGCGATTTGATCATTTTACTTGAGTTGCATCGAATAGAGACGTGTGGGTAATGCTGCCACAGCCATTCGGCACAGTCCATGCACAGTGTTTTCAGGCATGTGACACAAAGCATTTTGTTGTGTTTTATTAAGATTTATTTTATTCCAATGTTGTTGTTTAACCAAGGTATGTAATTCAGGATTTTTGTTGTTGTTTTGTGATTTTTTTTTTCAACAGATGTGGGAAGAGGCCATTGCCTTGGGTAAAGAACTTGCAGAACAGTATGAAAATGAAATGTTTGATTATGAACAACTCAGTGAACTGCTGGTAGGTTTTTTTGATGACATAGCCACTGCAACAATTTTTTCAGAATTTAATTTTTGAGTTTTAATTATATTGAAAAAAATGTCTTATGACAGTGAAATGCAGAAATTGATGCCTGCTGTGGCTTTGTTGGACAAATGTTGATTAACTGGCTACCACTGGACTGCCTGAAAAAGGTTGAATTTTACTTTTTTTTAGCTGAAAGAAAAATATTTCGGTAATGTTAAGCTGATTTATTTGGGGTATAAAAGGAAATTTGGAATTTAAATATAAATGGGAACATGGAAAAAAATCCCCATTCTCTCTCAAGTGTCTTTCCATATTCACGTTTCTTTTTTTAGGTATGAATAATCCCAAGCATTCATGTCTAGAGTCAGTTATTTTTGCCCTGACGTTACCCATTCATTATGCCTGCACCATTTTTTTTTTCTCCTGCTCTTCTCCAAAGAGATAAATGGCAGTTGTCACCGTCCCTCCTAACTTCTCAGCCGTTTTCACAGGAGTTGGGACATGATTCCAGTTTGCTTCTGAAAATTCTTGACTTTTGAGTTTTTGATACGTTTTACCTTTGCACTCACCAGAGTACATCATCCTTAATTTCATGGAAATTTCTTTATCCCTGTATATCTGAGCCGGGCATTAACACGGTGTCATTGCACCCTCTTTCTCCGCTGACACCGATGCTCAGTTTGCGGATGGCTAGGAGCCATCTCCCCAGAAGCATCTCCATCCCCATCTCCCCAGAATCTCCTTTCTTGGGGATGAAAGAATAAAGGTAAATACCAATCCTCTGGATTTTATGGTTTCTTCACTCCTCTACATGTTCTTTATTCTGTCCACAGTTCTGTCCTCCAGCTCTCTAGAGCTGAATTTATATCCCTTTTTGATGGCATTTTAACTGATTTTAGCGACAGACTGATTATATTGATTTGCCTGGCGAATCTGGAGCCTGGTTTCACGTTGCTTTGTACTACAGGAGGTAAAGGATGTTTACCTAGAACATTTCTCAGGCGTTACGGTATGCCAGAAGAGTCTTCCCTGGCCTGCTGCCTCTGCCACTGTCACTAGGGCTGTGTTCAGTAGAGAATGTTCTTCATTTCAATATAAAAGGAATCAGGTAGAGATTGTTCCTCAGCTGGAAATGATTCTCATGTGTCAGATGTGCAAGCATAAAAGAGATGGAAAATTAAAAATGAGGGACTTGGAGAGTAGCTACCCACTGGTGAATGATCATATCTGACCCATGAGAATCACTTCTAGCTGAGGAACAGCTTTGTCACGGAAACAACCCCTCTTTACGTGTCATACTGTATTCATTTTGGAGAAGTCTGAATTTGCACTTTATACATTGCAGCTGATGGACAATATAGTGAGTTATGTATTTTTCAGCATTTCTCTCACACAGTCCATATGTTATTGTTTACATTAAGTGACATAATTCCAGGCAGTGGTGTAAACCAGGTATGGTTCACCTGCCATGGAAATGGAGTTTCTCCCTCTTGTAATAGGGGAGACCCAGAACTTCTGATTTTGACATCAAACATCTGAGTTTATCTGCTCTTTATTTATCAGACAGGAGAAATTGAGAGAGATGTCATAAAAATTAGTACCAGCGTGGACTGGGCATCCATCTCTAATAAAGCAAAGATCAAAATTCACGCTCCCGTACGAGTCAGGTCTCACATACCCCATCGGCTTTTCCTGTTGCTGCTGCTAAATAGCATTAGCATGCAAGCTCTTTTTTTCCCCCCCATAATAAAATTTAAAAGTTTTTTGTTTCTTTCTGTTCTCCCTATTGTCTCTTTTGTTCAAGCAATATTAAATATTAGACTCTTAAGACAATTCACAGAGGACAAAATAGTTTTGGTACAGGTGAACTGAGAAATACATGGCAGATCTGGGCCCTTGTAGTCTTCTTGCCATATAGTGATACCTGTCGTATGGGAGCAGTAATAAAGCTCTCCTGAAATCAGAATTCATTCTCTTACAGAAAGAAATAGACTAAAAATAAGTTAATGAACAGATCGTCCAAAGCTGAACATTTGTTATTATTTCATCATTTGAGATAAAGAAGGATTCCGCTTTGAAAACAGATGGCGTCCGACATGTGTGTATTTAATCCAAAAGTTATATTTTTCTGCAGTTCTCAACTGCGTGCTTTCCATATGCAAATAAATAATTGTAAATATGGAAAAGAAGTGGTAGAAAAATGTAATGAAATGGAACAGCCGAAAACAGAGAAGTCAGCACCATTGGGATGAGCTTGCTGTAGCGGAATGTGCTTCATCATTCCAATGTTTTGGCATCGGCAGCATCACAACGGGAATTCAGGCTGCCTTGCAAATCCTTGACCTTCATCAAAATCTCCATATTGGATATGGAATAGTGAGGTTCACCATGATAAGCATAAAAAACAATGGCTACAGAGTCTAGTATTTCAAAATATTGGCATATATCTGATAGAAAGGTGAAGAAAAAGGCAAATGAAACCTGTACATCTTTAAGTTAGAGGTATACATGAAAGAGATCTAGATCTTAAGTGTAAGGAATCTCCTTCAAGTTTAGGTCATTAAAATTCTTCCTATTTATTTTGCAGAGAAAGCAAGCCCAGTTCTATGAGAACATTGTGAAAGTCATAAGACCAAAACCAGACTACTTTGCTGTTGGGTACTACGGCCAGGGATTTCCAACATTCATAAGGGTAAGTGCCCACTTTTTTCCAAGGCAAGGAAAGGTTTCTTGCCTTGGAAATTTCCCTCGGTTGTGGAGAAAGTATACGTTATTGTATGTCAGTCTGTTATTTACAATCTACCGAACATCGGTAGTTGGGTTTTTTAGGTGTATAAAACAAACATTGTTTTTTTCTTTCCAGTTTCTAATATAGAATAGTTGAATTTTAGTAGAGAAGCTTTTTCTTCAAACATATCCAGTCCTTTATACTTCTTCAGGCTATCACTAGAAATGAAGATATACCACCCAATCCATAAATCAGGGTAATAACCAGCACCATCTGAAATGATGACATTTTTGCCTGACAGGTATATAGAGATATAGATATAGATATGTGAGTGTGGTAGAGAAGCCTTTTGTATGTGACCATGTTTTCATGTGAGTGTCCTTTTCAGCGCAGTCACTAAAATGAAGCCTGGTGTCAGAGATGTGTGTGATACCTTGAAAAGCAATCTGTTATCATTGATTTTCATGAGTCATGTGTCAATTTAAAGCATATGTCAGTTGGGTGATGCCGGTAACATAAGTCGAATAACATTTGAGATTTTTTCCACTGATACCAGGAATGTTGTGGAGTTGAATTAGTGGCTAAAGGAGGGTGGGGATTTAACACGTCTGAATTACATCTGTATCGTGGTTCTCTGGACTCAGAGAATAATCTGAGAATAGCAGTAATAATTTTATTCTTCTGTCTCTTGAATTGCCTTAATCTTCCAGGAGACTCAGAGAGATTTAGTCTCAGGCCAGGGGCTGGTAGTAGGTTTCCTCCTGGAAATACACCTTTAGGAAATGAGTTCCTGGTTGTAACTGAGGAATTCCATGTTAACTCTCTCAGATTATGCCATGATAAATACCGGGAGCAAGCCCAAGCCTGTGCTGAAGCCCGGCTCACTGCATAAAGCCAGTGGATGCTGATTAAGCTGGTTTTGTCAGGTTAATTGTGCTTGGCTGGTCTTTCATGGTGTATTAAAAGTGGATGTAAAAATATATTTATGGTGCATTAAAAGTAAAGAAACAAACATTTGGCGATTTCAGAAAAGAATTGTCTTCAGAATGATCATCCCTCATAGAAATCTTATGATCAGATATCCAGACAGAAACTTTGAAAGTGTTTGGAGAAGGAGGAAAAGGCTTTCAAAAATCCCAAGAAATAAAACATTTACTTAGAGTAATCAGGTGTTCATTTGGAAAAAGCCTCCTTTTCCACCAACTAACTAAAGCCCATGTGAAGAAATTGAAACTCTTGAATGGTCCCAAGAAGCAGCAGGTGTGTGTGGCTTTCCATGCACCCGGGGATGCCGTACTACAGGTGTACTCGTACCACGTATCCTGCCTGAGAAGTGCAGCAAGTTATCAGTTCTTTGCAGTAGAAAGGCATAAACCTGACCCCAGCAGATCCTGCCAGGCTAAGAGCGAATTTTGCAGTGTGCAGACCTGGACAAAAATTGGGAGATGACCTCTCGGATGTTAGCCCACTGCTGGTCTCCTCCACGTCGTGGCTGGGCAACTCGCACCAGAGACTCTGAGCGTGCAGGGGGGTGGCAGGGTCATCCGTCCCGGAGCTGCCCCAAAGCTTGTGAGATGCAATTCTGCAAACTGGCAACGCCGTATGTTAGCAACAGAGGCAAAGGCGTGATGACGATGTGCAAGCTGCCGTGTGCATCAAAAAACCAACTTTAAAAGGGATGCAGTGCGGAATAAGTAAGAATTGTTGTGGTGTTTGGAATACACGTAGGGTAATCTACGTGCAACAGCTTTTATCAAGCATCGAACAGCAAAAAATGGTCGTGATGCTTTAAGTAAAAAAGCCTTAATAAGATTTTTGTAAAATATTAGTGATTTCTTCAGTTTTGCCAGGCAAAAAAAAAAGTAGTATCCAGTAAGGAGGAGTCACTGTTAAGATTGACCAATCCATTTTTCTAGAAAATGATTGAATTAGTATTTTATGATATTCTTATCAGGAATCTTCAAAATGATGACTGTACGATAAAGTCACATCAGGAAGATCCCATGATCCAGAGCGGGTTTGCCATGGGATCCCAGAGCACCACGAGCTGTCCTGACCGAGTCAGCAGGGTGGCCGTGGGTTAACCCGTCAGCCCCTGCCACAACCACGTGTATACGTGCCGAACGCAGAGAGCACAATGCAACTTTCCCACTAAGCGCTGTGTTAAATTGCACAAAGGGATACGGTGCCCAGTGGTGTTAATCTGATCCATTAGTATTGAACTGCTTTTTCTCTTCACAACTGAGTAGGGTTTTTTGTAAGCATGGGAAAACACATGCTTTACAAAAGCCTCATGGATTGGTCAGTTTGTAATAAATGAGCGATAAAAACCTCTGAAAAAGAGGCTATTAAGTGCCTTGCAGATTGAGAAAATCCTCAGTGCAAGCTTTTCCTATTATTGCAATTTTTCCTGTGAATTAAAGGTATATATACACTTCTTAGGCATCTGCCTTTTTTTTTTTTTTTTTTTTTTTTCTGAAATAGAGAGTATTCTTTCATCTACTCTGCATTTCCAAATGCACCATTGCAGAGCTAAACCCAGCTGGACAAATGTAAACTATTCCAGTTTTCTACCCCTAGTCTTAACACCCTTTTTCTAGTAAGTGCTGTACAATTTTTTCACCAAGTGTTCATTTTGAGATGAGTAATCAGGTTAAGCATATTCAGATGCATTATATTCATATCAAAACTTTCTTTAATGCATTTGATCAGTTAAAAATATGCAAGTCGTTTTACATTTTTCTGTAGAGTTTAATGTGCTTGTTCAGTATATAGATGGACTGCATAAAACATATCTTAATTTTCTTGATTGTTAAAGAAGAAACCAATGCTTAGAAATACAATATACTTAATTTAAAACTTAGGCTGTGTGCAAAAATCTAATAGACTAATCTGAAGTCTGGGGTGTACCAGTCTTTCTAAAAAAAGTCGTATCTTTGGACCTTCCTCCTAAAATTGGCATCGTTTTCTGTTTATACTTTTCTCTGCTCCTCTTGCTCACCTCAGTGCCTTTTAATAAATGTTTGTGTGTAAAAAGCCTAATTCTGTTTGTTTACATCCATTCCACCATTAGCTGTGGAAGGTGGATGAGAGGAATTACAGAGGGAGATCTTGGATTTGGTAGAGGACGTAATTTGTCTTAACGCATTTTCAGTGGGCGCCTGTTTTATAGATCCTTGATGTTATGTGCTTAGACCCCGTTGAATTTAGTGTGGTTTATTCATGTGCCTGAAGGTAAGCGCCTGCTTAATGATCTCAGTACTGAATCGGAGGTAAGGAAATCCATTTGTGCTTTATTGAATTGGCATAAAATATTTGTAAACTATTGATTATATCATAGTGTGAGGAATGTAAAATATCTCACTTAACACCATTGGAGTCAATGCTTCTGAGATCCCAGTTCTGAGGATACCGGTATTGAGATTTAACCTCTCAATTTGTTTGCAGAACAAAGTCTTCATTTACCGGGGAAAGGAGTACGAACGCCGTGAAGACTTCGAAGCAAGGTTATTGACTCAGTTTCCAAATGCAGAAAAAATGAAAACGACGTCTCCACCGGGCGATGACATTAAAAACTCCTCCGGCCAGTGTATCCTTAGGTTGTACAGCGGCTCCTGCAGCCACACGGATCGAGGATTTATGGCCAGCACAAGCAGGAGACTGTTGCACTTCTGCCTTGATGGGTGTAACACTTGCGTTTTGTTGTTCTGTCCTTTCTTTACGTTCCCATTGAGCTGCCTGTTCCGTGTCATCGAAATGCGCTTTTCAGTTCTTAACCTCTGAATTCAGATATTCAGTGCTTTACTGTAAAGCCAAAACTGGATTTACCATCTAAATTTCACAGGCCAGTGTCAGAACAAATCGTGAGGTGAGTTTGGGTTGGTTTTGCAATTTTATCAGTCTCCTTTATAACACTTAAACTAGTTCCTGTTGTTGTATAACAAATCTGTACGCAGCCAAGGAGGGGAGTAATTGTGAGGACACTTCATGGATATTCTTAATATTAGCAGAGATTTCATCCAACCCGCTGGATAACAGTGATCCCATAAGCATTTTATATTTGCGCGTAAACATTTTTTCAAGTACTAGAATTTAGCAGCAATTCCTAAATGGATAGTATTTGATTTTGATTGTGCTTTTCCCTTTTTTCAGTTTCTATAGGGTGAATGAAGTCCAACGGTTTGAGTATTCACGCCCTGTTCGAAAAGGAGAGAAAAACCCAGACAATGAATTTGCGGTAAAAAGAGTACTTTGGGGGTTTGCTTGTTTGCTCCATTTTGAGAATCTGAACCATTCGTTATGTTTTGGTTGTTGAAAAATAAATTCTAGCTTTAAATATGATTATTGTTTCATAGAAATTCAATTAAAGCAATTTATCATGTTCTGTTTTATACCAATAGTAAAAATGGACAAAGCTGTTTTGTTTAAAACTATTTTGAGAAAGAAGTTTAAAATGGCTATACCTGAAAAGATACATGTCTCTTCCCAAAACTTGTCTTGCCATGAAAATACTAGTTAGGCATCCAAAAATCTTTTTGTAATAACACTTTTTCTTTTTTTTTCTTTTTTTTTAATTAAACCATATAACCGTATGTTTCATCTAATGGTCAATAAAACTCCCTTTGAGCACAGCTTGTATTCATCAAAACTTTTACAACAGGTTACATCAAGTTGATTGCCTTTTTTTTTATAGACACCATTTTATTCACAGGGGTTCTAGTGGGCGCAGTTAGTAGTAAAGTAGTAGTAGTAATTAAAGTAATAAATTAATGCATCATTTCTTGAGCAAAGAACTTGGGTTTCTGTGTGGTGGCAGGCTCTAATCTAATCGATGTGCCAATAAATGCTGAGTATTTGGTTTCCTACAGCTAAGACCAGGTATTCGTTCAGAGACTCCTTTAGTGTCTTTGGCTTTTCTTGGTGGCTGTTATATCAAGAATTGCTGATTTGCTAATCTACGTGGGTTTAGCTGAGGAGGCAGGAAACCCTGTTTTTCTAAAACCGTAAAGCTAAAGAGTGCTGTAGTTTACTATAGGTTTTGATTATAGATTAAAAAATGTGGGTATAGCTAAATCACTTTGAAAGCTCTTCATCTGCTAATGGAGGATAGAATAAACAATTCTGGTTTAAAAAAGGCTCATAATATATAGATGAACTACCAACATGTGCCAGTTCTAACAAAATCAAATCACGAGATGTCTTTGACATTGGTTATGAACCAGGTACACACAGGAAGAGATGTTAAATCACGTATCCTTAAATTCAAACCAGTGAGGAGACGTTACAATGGAGCCATTGCAGTTTACAGCTCAGATGAAATCACAGAATCACAAATTCAGGTCCTGCAGGTCAGGATGGGACCTCAGGAGGGCTCAGGTCCAGGTAGGGCCAACTCCAGGGTCAGACCCGGCTGCTCAGGGCTTTTCCCCAGCCGGTCTTGAAGCCTCCGAGGATGGGGATGGTACAGCCTCCCCAGGGAGCCTGTCCCTCGGCTCCTCTGCCCTCCTGGGGAAGAAGTTTTCCCTATATCAAGATGCTGTGGATTTGTGGAGAATGGTCCTTGAAAGCTCTGGAAGTTGCGTGGGAAAAATGACAGTCCAGTAAAAGAGGTGGATCTTTTACGTGGTGTTCTTCTTTGGTAAGAGAGCGGTTGTTCTCTACTAAATCACGTATCAGATGTAAATCGGCACAGCTCCGTCATCTGCCCCAGCAGATTCCACGTGAAATTTCCCCCTGGCTTCGCGATGTCTGTCGTACTGCAGTTCCTTTCCCGATGATAATGTTTTAAGGCTTTGCTTAAGATAAAAGCTATCAATCCGATAACGTGATGTTTATGTTGTATTTGCAGAATATGTGGATTGAGAGAACCATCTATGTGACAGCGTATAAATTACCAGGGATTCTGAGGTGGTTTGAAGTCAAATCAGTTTTCATGGTAAGATCAGTTTGGCTTTATTGAGATTGCATAAAGGAACGGGGCTCTTCCACAGCCGGGGAGCGTTTACGTCTCTATATGACTGCCTCGGTCCTGTGAGCAAGCCGTCAATGGGGCTGTGCCTGGCTCCGCAGACAAGGGGACCTTGGTGCTGAGGATGCAGCTTATTGACTGCGGGTGACTCAGGCAACGCTTTTCCACTCCTGAGAGAAGGAAATGTGGGCTGGCTCTGCCAGGCCTGTAGGGCAAGGTCCGATCGAGTGCTTGAAGTGCTTTTGTAAGGTGTTTTCTGGCTTTCAGCAGGTGAGCCGTTACGGCCCGTGGCGTAAGCCGGGTGCCTAAAGTGAAGAGGGACCTGAGGTGGTATAGGGGCACCCTGCTGCATCAAAATGAAACTAGTCTGAATTTTGGAAAAGAGGATTTGGGTGTTTAGATTGTAATTTATTCAACAATATACCATAAATTGAACGCATTGTATGTGTCTGCATCTCTTCTCTACTTATCATTTGTGATTGAAGGTTGGTTTTGTTTCTTCTCCATAGTTAGCTAAAATATACCCTTGCAACCTCACAGAGTAACTCCAAATTATGCGTTTCTCTGTTCTACCATTTAGACTGTTTAGATAAGACATATCCATTAAACGCCTTTAAGATTAAATTATTCTTACGCAGCTGTAATTTTTAAGTAGCAATAAAAACATTGTTACTGCAGTTTTTAAGTCTCTCTTGTGAGTCTTATTTTTAAAGGAAAAGAACAATTTGCATATGATTAATTAAAACCTTTTTCATTGCTCCATTGAGGTTCTGTTGGACAGTTGTATTTAGATGAACAGAAGTAATGCAGAAAATTACTATGGTATCTATAGTAACAGAATATGAATGTGATGTTTGACAGTAATCGGCGGCTGAATAAAACACATTGAATTTTTAATGAATTTTGTATTTTCAATATAATCCTGATAGAGAAGATTGTATTTATCTTTATGATTGCAAAAAGTGTTGTTTATAAAGGCTGGCAAATCTGATGAAAGTCTCTTTTCCTTACGAGTTAAGAGCACAGCCTGACAGGCTGCTTTATGCAGGTAATTTGTATACGCGCACCTTTAACGCTATGCTTGTCGTCGGAATGTGCATAAATCCTGGGCGACTGCTTTCTGTAAGCTTTTCGTAAGTAAGGATTGCATTAGTCGCGTAGCTGAAATATGATATCAGAATTGAACTTAATAGTATGTGGGAAGACGGCAACGGGTAACTTTCGACCTATCTCTGGCATAGTTACTACCAAATTGGTATTGACTTCCTTCAAGATGCCTGTCAGCTAGAATGCTGGAAGCACGATCACAAGGTTTACGTCCCTGTAATGCTGAATTTTGATTATGGATACAGATATTATTGACGTTTTACTAAAGACGATGAATTAAAGTAGCTTTGCACATTTCATCTTTCATTGACGGCACTAGAATATCTTTAAAGGAAGAGGTGAGATCACACCAAATCAGTGCTGAGAGAGAACTGAGTAATTTAATAAATGCAGCGTATTATGTTACATAACCCATAGGAACATGTATAATTTCCTCAGATCTGTTTGCTTTTTAAATTCCTTCGGAGTACTTCTACCTAAACCTTTTCAATCTGTTCATTATCTGCAAGGAATTTTTTGCCCACATTCATTATTCGGTACGTGATTTATTTAGCTGGACACAAGTAGTTGTAGGGGGAAAATTCACTGAGGCCAGGCAGTGAATTAGAAACCATATTTTGAATTGCACTTGGTTTTAAAAAGGACAAATACTCATCTCTATTTTCTTTTGATGTTTAATTTTTTTAGTGGTGCAAACGTATCCGGAGTACATAATTTCTGTTTGCCCTGAATAGATTGTGTGGTATCCAGAGTTAGCAAGCTACTTGGAAGAAGGCTGATAATTTACAAGTATAGATATTTTTCATAAATAGCTTTCAATAAGATTCAAAGCAGAATTTGTAGTAGTAGGATGGGAACTGCAATTCTCCATCTGCTTTTAAAAAATTAGAGGGAGGATTATAAGAGTAGTAAAAGAAAGGAGAATGAGAAAGAAAGCCATGATTGCTGATACAGAAAAGTCAAAAAAGATGTCTGTCAGCTCAATGAGTGCTAATTTCTGTAGATATTCAAGAGCCTTAAAAGCAATGGTTCATCAACGAATCATTGCATCATTGTAAGCCCATTAATACAAATGACAGAATCCTAAATTTAGCCCACGATGTTCACAACAGTTCTTGCCGAATCGGATGCTGAATATGGCCTTATTTTCCCAGTCCAAATTTCACTCGTAGCAAACGCAGCTCGTCTGTCCAACTGAGCCCGGTCCGCTCCGCAGCCACAACAGCAGCGTTAGGCTCGTTACCTGACTGCCAGAATAATTCACCAGGCATACTTTTAAAAATGCTAATTAAAACATCCTTGATGTAATCAGATGGCAGGTGTAAGAGTAACAACGAAAGAGATTTGATTATAAGTGGTTCTCAGAAACATGGTAAGCAACTGATAGCCAGGTAGAAGTGCTTCTTTGTTGATGTAGCATTTATGTAAATTAGGCTGTAATCAAATATACACTTGCATTTTCCTCACAGGCCTCAATTAACCTTCTTTTTCTGTTCCTACCACATTATTTTTTTAATGTAAGTGGGCTATGACTTAAGTCTTCCAGTGGGGATTGACTACACTATGGGTAGTCAATTTAGTAATTTTTAGCCCATTCACTAAACATACATATTTTAGCAATATTTGAAATATTTTAATACTGTTTTTTCAATATATGCAACTTTCATTCTGAAAGACATGGTATCTGGTCATAAATAATAGTTGGAGATGAGACAATTAAAATAAAGCAAGTTTTACACAGTATAAGAGCTAATTCACCCCATGGTGACATCTGAGGAGTTGTTTTCATTGAAGTGCAGGCTATGTGAGAAAGAAAATTCCTTCCCTCAGCTATCGGCGTTCAGATGAAGAAAATGTAGCCTCGTGGGAAAAAGCACGGCAGATAGCTTAGAAGTCATCTCTTCAACATATGAAACTCCATTTCCTTGGAAATACACCACAATAATCACTGCAAAAATATCTTCTGGATTTTTGAGCTGCTTAGGATTACATTTTCCATCAGAAAATCCACATTAAGTTATCATTTCTTTCTTACTGTTACATTAAGCTGGATCTTCTTTGTACTGCTAAAACTCACCGACTCGTAATCTCTGATGTTCTCCGTAATCCTCCAGAAACCTCACGTGATTTCTGTCAGAGCCTTTCTAAACATTGTGCTGTTGTGCTGGGATGTAATCCATCCCACAGCAGTGGAACGCATTTAACGTTCTCCACTGATATTGATTATCCTATCAGTTACCGCTGTATATAGATACCAAATATTTAAATGCCTGTAACCACCCTTTCTGTTAATTATTGGTTAAAATATCTTTTGTTCTGAAATTTCAGAAATGTTTCTAATTGTGATGGGTTGGTGGACAGCCAGTTCTGTGGCAGGTTAAAAACTCTGCTCCTTGATTAAAACCTCCTTTTGTTTTTATTTTAGGTTGAAATTAGTCCCCTGGAAAATGCAATAGAAACCATGCAGCTAACAAACGATAAGATCAACAATATGGTTCAACAGCATTTAAATGATCCAAATCTACCCATTAACCCGCTCTCGATGCTGCTTAACGGCATTGTGGATCCCGCAGTCATGGGAGGGTTCACAAACTACGAGAAGGTAACGTCAAAATTGTCTGTCCTGGCAGTGCTTCCACCTCTTTGAGCCTGGACTCCCCTGGAATGCTTACCATTTTTAGTGTCTTTCTGATATTTCGGGATAAATTTTTGCCTTTCTACATTTGAAGTAGGAGGTGGTATGTTTAGCAGCAAGAGTACTTACGTAGGGACGTGGTGGACAGTTGCTCCGTAGAGTTAAACACAGACCGATTGCTGAAGCAGGAATTTCTGGGTGAACTTCAGTGACCAGAGTAACTGATTGCAATTCTCTGCTTTGCTTTCAAATGCATGAGTTTTTTAAAGGATTAATCAAATGGTAGAGACTTCTGAGATACCAGTCAGTTGCAAATATGTCTAAATAATCCTAACTGCATGTTTACAGCATTAGCTTTTCAAGTTATATGGGATAAGATCTGAAGCAGGAATTTCTGGGTGAACTTCAGTGACCAGAGTAACTGATTGCAATTCTCTGCTTTGCTTTCAAATGCATGAGTTTTTTAAAGGATTAATCAAATGGTAGAGACTTCTGAGATACCAGTCAGTTGCAAATATGTCTAAATAATCCTAACTGCATGTTTACAGCATTAGCTTTTCAAGTTATATGGGATAAGATAGTAACATTGGGAAACTCCAGACACTGCATCTATTATTTATGTTGTGAATATTTATCATATTAAGCTAGCATACACAAACAACACGCTGGCTGAGAGGGTTGGTGTTGTTCAGCCTGGAGAAGAGAAGGCTGCAGCCTCACTGCAGAGAGTCTCACTGAAGAGACCTCACTGCAGCCTTCCAGTCCCTGCAGGGGCTCCAGGAAAGCTGGAGAGGGGCTGGTGACAAGGGCAGGGAGGGACAGGCCAAGGGGAATGGCCTGAAGCTGCAGGAGGGGAGATGGAGATGGGACAGG